TTTGTTGGACATTCTATTCGGAGGTACAGCTGTGTTGTTCAAACGCGTGTACAGACGCAAAAGAGGGAAACGTGCCGGCGCCCTGGTTAAGCTCCACGCGCGCGGCTTTCGGACTGCACTCCCAAACATTCATCTCACGAATGTCCGTTCCCTTCCTAACAAATTTCGCTTTCACAACGAAACAGCGTCACACACCGCGGCCTTGAGTGAGCGGAGGCCGCGGGGCCTAGAGTGAGCGGAGGCCGGCTTGAGTGAGCGGATATCGTCCTCTTTTGGAAGACCAAAGTAGCTTCGCTTTCACAACGAAGCACACAGCGTCTTCAGGACATGGCGGCAGCGGCAACAATACTACAGTGAGAATAAAAGTTACGCCTTCTTTCTTTGCGTGAACATTTGGGCGGCGTTATGCAAATCTTCCCACATAGTGAGGTAGATATGTGGGGACGCATGAGGAACAACAGGGGCGTAAAACTGCCTGGGCCGTATATCTGCTTGCTCCAGGACTGCAGCCTCCCCTTCTTCAACATCCAAATGAGATGTTTTTGGAGCTTGATTAAATAAATGTTTTGTTTAAATGAGGAGGACGTTTAAAGCTATGAAACGTGCAGGATGTTTTAATGGCATAAAGATCTCCTACACTGCATGTCAGAAGATCAATGGAAATTGTATTATTCATGTCATGACCCCTTTAACAAGCTAGAGAACCACAAAATAGATTCACTGGTACAAAATACATACGCTGGCACACTGCAATACTACTTACATGTCACTAAACATCTTCAGAAGTCTCCGTTCTGTCAGAGCTGTTCTCACTCTGAATCTCAAAACAAACCATTCATTCTTTTTCAGGATTTTATTCTAGTGGACATTGAGCTATATTACAAGGTAGGTGCAATACGGTTTGAAAGGCATCTTTTCACTTTATTTTTATGTCACCAAAAATGTTTTTGAATTTTAAACGTTTAAACTCTTCTTTAAACCATCCAATCAATATGTAAGCTTAAAAAACCTTTACATTTGTCCAGTGCTCAATACTGTCTCTCTGCTTGAGCTTGTCCTGCCACCGGAACAGTACCAGTTGGCATGTTAAAAAAAAAGTGCAAACATACACATCAGCATTTTGGGAGTAAAGCGTTACAAAAGTAACGACATTACAGTAGTATATTACTTTTTCCTGTAACGCAGTAATATAACGCATTACTAATAAAATGTAGGTAATATTATATCCATTACAATCTTGGTAAGGCACGTTACAACAACATATTTTAACTCAAAATTAAGTGGTGAATTTACTAACACCGCAAAAAAAAAAAAAAAATGCAGAGACGGATTCTACATCTGTGACACGGACACACTCCCATTCCCAGATAGCACATGTACGTCTGCAAGATGTCTGTTAAAGATCTTTTCATCTGGAAAGCATCTGCTGTCTAGAAACGTCTGACAGACGTCTTTCAGATGTCAGTTTTACATACATTCTAAATCATAAACACCTTAAAGACATCTAATAGACATCTATTTGACATCTAAAAGGAAAAGCCCTATAGATGTATTGCAGATGAGCAAACACTCTAAAAAATACATCTTGCAGATGTAAATGCAGACGTCAAATAGACGTCTCCGAGATGTACGTGTGCTATGAGGGTTATTTTCAGTTAATCAGAGAAAATGATAAGAAGGCATCGTCAAGTGCAATCTATGTGCGACACCGAACTCTCAACATCAAGAAATAGCACGAGTAACTGAAGAAACACTGGGACTGGTGCCACAAACACTAACCGCGAGAGCTGCAGGGTCGGAGGAGAGAAAGAATGCGGCGGACGAGCAACAGAGATGAAGTTTAACTAAAAATAACAAAAGCTGTTTTTATTAAATTATAGTCTATATATAAAAGGACTGAATATGAAAAATATATTTGACTTAAATAATCAACAGGTTAACAGGTGTATATGCTGATGATGGTTCATTTTTGTGCGGCGCGACGCTCTACAAACAAGTTCACGGAAAGGAAACCGAGATGACAGTGCATCCTAAAATAAAAATCAACACATTGCAGTTTCAAATGAACTGTATGGTCAAAAATTAAGGAGTATTTTCCACTGTTCGATCTCGAAGGTGCCTCACACACACACACAATACAGCATTGCAAACGCTCCAGCCTGTTCATTATCAGAATATTATATATTAATATATTAATAATTCATATATTACACAGTGTGTGTGTGTGTGTGTGCGCCTTTTTGTGACAAATGAGGACATAAATTTGTATAATGACAAAGGTATGACATAGGTATTACAAGGAGAAGGTGACTTTTCAGGACATTACCCCATGTCCCCACTTTTCAAAACGCTTATAAATCACACAGAATGGAGTGTATTGAAAATCTGAAATAGTACAAAGTTTCCTGTGAGGGGTAGGTTTAGGGGCAGGGTTGGTGTAGGGCAATAGAATATACGGCCTGTACAGTAGAAAAACCATTACGCCTATGGAGAGTCCCCACTTTTCACAAAAACAAACCTGTGTGTGTGCATGACCTTTAAACTATTAATATCCAGTAGTGGCATAACAACAAAAGAATGAAGTTTTTTGAAAATCTAAAAATGCAGAAAGTTTCCTGTGAGGGGTAGATTTAGGTGTAGGGTTGGTGTAGGGCCATAGAAAATACAGTTTGTACAGTATAAAAACCATTACGCCTATGGAGAGTCCCCACAAGGATAGCAAACCAGACATGTGTGTGTGTGTGTGAGAGAGAGAGATCTGGGCACAAACCTTTTCACTACAGTCACAATCACAGTGTTGTGAGAGTAGCTGATGGCTCGATTTGAGCTGAGAAAAAAATGAAATAAAATGAGAATTAGAAACAACAACAACACACACTTCAGCATTTCTGAGACACAAACCTGAAACACAATGAATGTACAAAAAACATTTACATTTTCAAGCAGGCCATGCAAACACTGCATACAGTGGGATTCCAGTGGACATAATTTCTTGTGGTTAAATTACACTTGAACTAATTATCGTTGAGAATGCGGTACATTGCTACCCGAGAACGTACAGTACGAGCGGTTGAGAGTCAACTCTTCAACACTGAAGAGCTGTTCGGTTAATGTGGAAGTGAAGCAGTCAGTCAAGTTTACATTATTTAGTAAACTGATTTCCACTGATTAAAATATATAACAAACACAATTAATGTAACCATTTTTAAAAAAAAATTTTTGTTATAGCGTTTGACCGCAGGGTGTGACATGACAGGGTTAGTTTGACGCTTCTCAACATTACAACTGATCCGACGGTTTTGAGTCACATTTAAACTTTGCACTTCAAATAAACCATTTATTTCACAGTGCATGCAGCTTCATTAGGATTGAAGGTCAATGTCTTGATCAGTTTCCAGACCCTTCACACTCTCTGTTCCTCTGTGGTGGAATGAGCCCCAAACTCCGAGACGTATCGACAGAGCGCTTCAGCGTCGAAGTATCTGGAATGTCTGTGATCGATGATGATCAGATCGTGGTTCTTCTCCTGAAAGCTCTCCAGCGCCGCTTCTGGCGTTCGGGCCACATTACACCTGAAACCAGCGCGTTCACACACCCAGCAGAAGCTGTGACTCTGAGCATCGTCTTTGGCAAACACTAACAGTACCTGCAACACACACACACACACACACACAGAGCCTTTACATTCTAAATAGTTTAGCAATCAAGTACATCATGAATATGGAAACATTTGGATTCGTGCTAAATGAGAGAGGTAGGCTGCGTGAGAACTAACGCGTTTGCATTTAGTTTCGCGTTAAATTAATTCGTTTTGACTTGTTTAGTAACTTATATTTTTAATTTGTTTTGTTCTGAATACCGTTAAATTTAAAGGATTTGTTGTGGATTGGAGAGAACAAAAATAGCCTATAAGCTAGCTGTTGTGTTTATTGTTTGTACTTTAGGGTTTATAACATTCCGCTTTATTTACCGCTATAATTTCTGAATGTAATTGCGGTTTGTGCTTGAAAGTGAAAGTAACTCAAAAGTAACTCAAATATAGTGTAACGCATTACAATTCAGAGACAGCAATATTGTAATGTAACTAAATACTTTCAAAAGACAGTAATAAGTAATATACAATGTATTACATTTTTGAAGTAACTTGCCCAACACTGAGTATAGATGGTAGAATGCTTTTGTTTGCTTTGGTGTTGCCACCCCTCACAGTCCTCATGCCACCCTAAAAATAATTGTCTAGATCCCTCTGTTTTTAAGATGACAATGCAGTCTAAATAGCAATCATTTAGTTTCCTTACAGAGGTTTGATGTCTTATTTGTTAAACACCATGGAACAAACATGAACACCTTGTGTTGTGTTTTGACTACTTTTAAATGTAAACTGTATAATTATTTTATGATAAGGAAACAAGTGTATCAGTAAATAAAGTTTCTCCTCTGACATTATGAAGCTGCTGCTTTAGAACAAGCATCGTAAGTGTTAATAAAGTATAATGGACTGTTAGTGTTCAAGTTAAATATTCACAAAGAAAGAGGTATTTAACAATAAATATTGCGTTTTCTAAATTGAGGTTTCTGGTTTATGCCTTTCTTTATGGGTGTCAATTGATTAAATTTGCACTTTTATTAAATCAAAACAGTACAACAAAAATAAATTATTTGAGCAGCATCTGATATGATACGACCCTAAATAACAAAAAAACAATCTTAGTACTAATGATGAATTTACAGTAAGGGAAGGCAGAGTCAGGAGCAGAAGGAGAGTTGTGAATTCACTGAAGAGACTATAATCAGAAATATCAGAGCTCAGAGTTCATCTCACCTGCTCTTGAGCTCATCTAGTGGACTGTGAAAATGAAAAGTACTACGTGTGGGAGAAAAAGTATCTGGCACAAAAGTGTGATACATTTACACTCAATGCAATGAATTAAACCAGAAAAGACCATTAAGATTTAAAGAGAATTACTTTATTCTGTTCGTAATTACTTTATTTTTGGGTGTACATTGTAATACATCTTAGTGTAATGAAAGTTAAAAAAAATTAAATAATGATAAAGCACAGTATATACATAAAAAAATAATGCAGAGCAAAATCAATGTAATCACTGTAAGTTTTTGCACATCCAATATATATATATATTTCCTGTATAATTCTAACATACCTGATAGACCTGATAGAATTAACAGGTACATGTTTATAACATTAATCACTGTAGGACAATTGGATGTTTATATCATTCAATACATTGAGATGCTAGTTGGGCTGTTGTTTTCTGTCAGTTGTTCACATAGTTTTATTTCATCAGAATTTATTCATTTTTTTTTAAATAGTCTTTGTTTTGTTAGATCAATTTCATTCATGACATTCTGTAACTGATCGATTCCTTTCCTCATTTCATCAATGAATTTCTCTGCTTTTTCCTTGAACTCTTTTTCATCTATTTGTTTATGTGCGGGTGTTTCTTCAGGGTTGTCATTGTCATCTTGCTCCTCTTTGTCTTCGATGATCTCTTCCAGAATTTCAAGCACAGAACTCATCTCAGCTACAATTTCTGAAAGATCTCCAGCCAAATGTTTCCGTGCACCCACTTCTCTGTTGCTATCTTTCTGGAAGAGGTGTATTTTTTCAAAGCAGTAGGAGAAACGTTCCCGTATTGCATTGGCTTTGTGCTTTGATAGCGTAGGGTCTCTCAGTATTTCCTGAGTACGATTACAAATCTTCTCTAGCATGTTAATAATAGGGCTGATTTTATTCTGAAATTCCTCAAGTTCTTTTTCTATGGTTTGTCTTAAGTTCTTCTCCTGCTGTGTTTTCTTGAATTCCCCAATAGCAAGAGCAATTCCACCACCTGCGAGCGCAGCTGTCCCTAATCCAGAGACAATGACAGAAGCCCCTCCAGTAAATGCAGCTAAAGCTAATCCTAGAATTATGCCAGCAACTCCAACAGCTCCAGATATCACTGCTCCTCTAGAGATGTTAGTAGCATGTCTGAAATCTTTTTCAAACTCATTGACGACTTCAGTCATTTTCTTTATATGCTTATTGCATTCCGGAGAAATTTTTTCATGGAGTTTGTTCAATTCTTCTTGGAGATGAGTAATGTCATATCTGGAGTAAATAAAACAGAAACATCTGTGTTTTTTTAATAGAAATGTTTATATTTTACCGATTATCTAGTTTATTTTGACACTTTATGCTACAAAAATGAATACATTTTATTAATATTGCCTTATAATAAATTAATTAACCCCATTTACGCCAAACTCTCTCAATTATTCTTGTTCTCTGAATCATGTGAATAACCTAAAAACATAACATAAAAAACACAAATCTCTCACAGCTCGTCAGTCTGTTCGTTCCATTGATTGGTTGATTCCATTGTGGCTGCAGTTAAATAACACAAGTGAAAATTTTAATCCATTTTAATCCTGGCTTATAATAACATTTAGTACCAAGTCAAGGCATGTACACACTTTTTGATACTTATTGTATGTTGCAGAGCTACTAGAAATAATTAGAGCCATATACTTGTCATTCTTGTTGTACTTATGCATTTTAATGCAGGAAGGACAATGAAACGTTTAACTGAACTTTTACCAAACTTTAGCTTTAAAGTTGGAACTTATTTTCCTTTGTTTTTGTTTGTTTGTTTTTTAAGATATTAAAAAAAAACAATTGGTTGACTCTTTACAGAAGACCGCTGTCCTCTTGCACATATCACATTATGCTATAAGACACACTAGTGTTCAAAAGTTGGAGACAGTAAGATTTTTGATGTTTCTGAAAGAAAGATTCTTATGTTAGGTTACATTATGTGTATTGTTTTGAGATGAACAAAAGCAAAGTTTTATCTACCAAACAAATCAAGTTCAGTACTAACATGTAGAACCCTGTGCCCTGTTGAGCTCGTATTTTGCTTTGCTGGATGCATTATACCATCATACCCTTTTCTGTACTACCATAAAATGCAAATAAACATAAACAAATAAACGGCTATTCTAATTCGCAGCAAAATGTAGCTCAAAATTCAAAATGCAATTTACTGACTCATATTTCATAAAAGGAGGATCTTTCATGCTGTCATCACTGGAGTCAGAGTCACTCTGATGGTGATGCATGTTTACGGCCTCTGGATGTGGTGACCAATCAGAGAAGTGCTCTCAGATCTTTCAAACCCTACAGAGAAAGAGTGACAAAAATCAGGATGGGTAAAAAATCTGGATAATACAGCTTTAATGAAATGGATTCCCACTGTATGTCCTGTTTGAGAGAATAAGATGCTTAATATTCATCAGCACATCTCCAAACTCCACACTAAATTTCAGACACTTAGCCGTTGGTATTAAATGGGCAAAATGTGTTTACCTGTATTTGTTCAGAGGCTGAGAAGCTGTATAGATCAATACTATAAAGAAAAAAAGTAGAACTTGTAAAATTCTGAGAAGCTTAAGAATCTGCCATCTTTCGTTTTCAAAATGGTGCATTTAAAATGTATTGTGAAGTGTTAAAGTGAATTAATTATGGCAAGTTGACTACCGTAATTTATTTTCTTTAAGCTGTATAAAAATGTCCTTATAGGCTTAAAAAATTTAAACCATTAAACTCATCCAGATATTGCAAGAATATCATAATGTGTTCAGGATATGTCTGATATGATCTGGGTTATTTCTAGTCTGATGTCTGCATGGGGAATCTGTCCAGCCATTGACTCAGAAATTAACTACACCACTGGCTTAACCAGAGGTTATGCTGGTAATACCATCTAAAATAACAAGTGTGACATTTTAAACAATTATTACAATATTTACAAGTTGTTTAGTTATTTCAAATGAAGTCTAATTAATGTAATCTTTGTTTCGCCCCAGTGTGTTTAGTTTCGGTTTCGTTTGGATCGCGAGCATTATTTCCATGCATCACTACTAAATTATCCTTACAGGTCCAAATACAACTTAATAATGCAAACTGTATATTAATAGACTCAATCAATGAATAAGCCCAACCTTGTTGCAGTCTTGATCGAAGTTCTTCTGTGTTTTTTGCCTCCTCGTGAATAATGCGATGAACTCAAACTTTACGTGTTGAAACGGTGAAACTGTGGTTTACAGCGACGATAACTAATCCATACAACTCAGTTTTAAACAATTTTCGTAAAACGAAATAAACATGGCGTAAATCTACCCGACTGAAGTTAAAACAAGAACTTCTTTCAGCGTGTTATTTGCTCCGCCCTCCTTTTCCTGTTATTTGCAGACTGTAGCGCGGTGACGTCACGTATCTACGTCACGTATGTGTTTACCGCGCATGCGCGAAGTGACGTAACACGTCATTAAAACGCATGCGCATACTTAACAGAATACTCTAATAAAATGTATAAGTATATAAAAAAACGCTAAGGTGAAAAAAAGTAAAATGTAGTACAGCACATATCTAAGATTTTAATCATGTATTATCTGAGGTAAACTTATACGGAATTACAGAGTTTATTCTGTAATA